GAATGAAAAGCACTATAAGAACTAAATGTTTTAGTTAATTTTGGTGGAATAAAAAACCTTTCATTCCTTAAATTATGATCTTTTTCAATTAAAATTCTTCTTATCGGTCTTTGTTTATTGTGATTCGATTTCTTTTTTTGTACATTATGTTCTAGATCAATTAAATATGAATCTAATTCAACATGTTTTTGATGATTTTGATAAGCATTTTCGATAATTTCATTGTCTATATCAGAATATTTTGTCCAGTGTGGTTCTTGTTTTGGACACCATGGATTTGAATTCGAATTCCAATGCCATACAGCTTTCGTCATCGTTAAATAGTTTCAATTGTAAATAATCTAGAATCAAAAGTTATTTCAAAAACTACGTGACTTTAACAAACATGTATTATCGACTTTTTCACACACTTCCATGAATAATCATTCGAAAACAATACAACTGAATAGTCTTATAGATCATAGGATGTGTTTGTATGAAGGATAGTTTCATCGCAATAGTTTTTTTGTACAATCATTAAGTCTTACGTGCTATTTAGACTCGAAATAGAAATCGAAATCGAGTTTCTAAAAATGCAGCTAAAATGAACTATTTTCTATCATAGATGAGATATCTTAAGTACTTTTTCAAAGAAATAATTACGAATGAAAATTTCGCCATTTTTGACTTTACGAAAAATATTATCGAACCGAATTAATAACATACTTACAGAAATTTCTATAATTGCTGAAATTTCCAATATGTCTAAAACAAATGTGAATTGTGCCATTAGTTATTCGAAAGGAATAATATCCGCTTAGTTTTGTTAACATTATGTGTCAGAAAACAAATTCAACACACTAAAATAAAATGTGTCGCATGTGTCACAACAAGCTCCTCGTGTCGCATCTTTTGCGTTCGTCACTAGTCAACATATAGCAAACAGCGGAGAACGCAAGAGATGCGACACATAAAAATTGCGACACGAGGAGCTCGTTGCTACACATTTTATTTTAGTGTTAAAATCATACTTCTATATTTTATCAAAACTAAAGTTTATTAAATCAAAAACATTCTATAGCATTTGAATCTACAAACTTCATATTCATATTTAAACAAAAATTTAAAAACGTTTAATTGTGACGATGACCGTGACAGGATATATATATGTGTGTCTTTTCTCTTATCCATATGCACCCTCGAATTAGCTGTCCTGTTGTCAGAGAATTGGAGAACAAAATCATAAAATTTGTCTTCTAGTAGACTCAAATTGGTAAGAAGGCTAAGTTTTTTCGTTCCATCTCGTCGCTGATGATACAAATCTATAACAGCTCTATGCAAGATGTCATAATTTGTAGTATTTTACATTACTAATGATTTCAATTGATTCTTAATGAGTATTGATAATGAATCCTCTAGCAGCTAAGCTTTTCTCTCGAATCATATTCACACCGGACCTCTATTTTTATATCACACGGAATCACATGAGGATCCTCAATGAAACATTGCTGTTGAAATTTGTCGAGTTTGTTTTTTTTTGTTCAAATCTGTAAGCTGTTTTCTTAACTTTTATGAAGTTTTAAATAATCCAATCATGGTATTTCTTTGTCTGTTTGCTGGAAAGGAACGTACATATAATCGTCTCAAAAAAAAATAAATTTCAGCACTTTTTTCATGTAAGTCCTACAGATGATGTTCCAGTTTAACATAAATAAAAGAACGATGTTGATCTCAACAAAGAGCGATCTATTAGCACTAGACACTCGTTTAATCTTTACCAAAATGTTCATCACTACCATTAAGTAGTTTATTTCATTCTGATATAAACTGGTGAACATAAATTTAGGTCATTTTTGTTTCTGTCATAACTCAGCCAGGTCTCTACCTATAAAGATGGCTGAGTTATGACAGAAACAAAAATGACCTAAATTTATGTCCACTAGTTTATCTTCATTCTTCAATCCAGAATCAAACAGCTGACCTACATATGAATAAAAAACCTTGATGAACACACAACAAGGTCTTTCCATTTAATGCTGAAATAAATATTTTTTATATCTAACAACTATTCCCAGTTTCCGTTAAAGTAAATTTCGAAAACAATTTTTTTGTTAGGAAAAAAAAACCCAGTGAATCGATCAGTTGGAAATAATTATTTTCAAGAAAGATCGTCAAGTTTACTTTTCTTTGTCTTCTGTTTGTGTCCTGACTCATGAAATTACTGCGCTCTTAGATACGTATAAACAGCACGATAAGAAAAAAACCCAAACAGTTGTTTGATGCAGTATAAAAACTGCTGGTTCTAACCATTTTGTTGTGTTTAAAATTATTCAAAGCAATAATCGATAAAAATGTTACATTCTCAAGACATAGAAGAATCCAATAGTGATAATGATGTAGAAATCGATGATGATGAAGTAAGCAATTATTACTAATATTTATTATCCATTTCTAATGTTCATAATATTTATACAGCTTGATGAAAATGAAGACATATTTGCTGGACCAGAAAAGAATTTGAGTAAGTGATAACCAATGAGTAACTCATTAAGAATGTCAGTTCGAATATTATAAGAATATCTGAGCCTGTTTTCAATATTTTGTTTTCTATGATTCAAATTAAACAAAAGTATGGCTCGGGTGTGGGTGTGAGTGTCACTACTCTCTTCATTCATACCTTCACCCCACATACAGACTAAGAATTGTGTTTGTTGCTACAGTGTCAGAATTACCTCTTGAACAAGAAGTGTCTGAAAATCGCATTCAATTGGCAATCGAAGAATTCGAACGGAATTTTGCCGAAGTTTATCCATCTACAGGACCAGCACTATTTATCGGTTCACTCAATGAAGCAATGAAGCATTCATTATTTGATCATGTTGACGTATGTTTTGAATTATTGTTTATCATAGATTGAAAGAATTTGTTTGTTTTCTTTTTATATACAGCGACGTCCTTTGTTGCTCTATTTGCATCGAAATAGAACACCATCTACACATGTATTGTGTAAAAATATACTTTGTAACAGTGAAATTATCGATTATATTGATAAAAATTATCTTGTCTGGGCATGGGATTGTACAAGAGATGCTAATTATCAACGGTAAGTTAATTTGATATTGAAACAGAAAAGAATATCGCCATATGAAACGAAATGATCATGCTCGAATAGTACTTTCTTTGTGTATATCTATATGAGTTTTCATAATAGGTTTCTATTAATGTTACTTAAACATGTTGGTCCTAAAGTTACAGCAATGATGGCTAAAATACCTATTGATGACTATCCGCAGTTGATCTGTTTTTTATGCGAACAAGATCAAATCAATGCTATTAAAGTTATTTCCCATCCTGATAATAGCTCGTCTGTAGATGAAATATATATGCGTCTTCTTAATCTAAGAGAACAATTCGATTCTTCAATGGAGATAATTCACAGTAAAATTCAAAACTCATCTATCTCATTCTGTGATAGTTGGTCACCTCCAATGAGTCAATTGCATGTTCTCGATCAACAAACAGATGAATTTCGAAATGTTGCTAGTTATTTTATTGATAATCGTTGTCAAATTATTCGTGTTGAACGCATTGAAAATGAAATATGGCATAACATATATAAAAAAGAGAAGAAAACAATTGATAAACGCCTTTATTCCAATTCAACTGATCGTGTTCTCTTTCATGGTTGTTTACAAACAGCTTCTGAAGAAATTTTACAACGAGGATTTGATAAAAGAATTATTGGTATACATGGTAAAACGAAAAAGAAATTATTAGAAAACAATTGTATTAATATTTTTAGTCATTCTAGGTACAGACTATGGCGATGGATTCTACTTTTCAACAAATCCAATGCGTAGTCACATGTATGCTTTGCCTGATCTATCACGATGGGGTGAACGAACAATGCTCGTATGTCATGTTATAATCGGCAAAACGTGTCATGCTCATTCGATGATTGAACCCCATGGCATACAATACGATTCCGTCACTGATGGATCAGAGATTTATGTTGTCTCTTCAAATCGACAAATTATACCGAACTATCGTGTCACATACAAATATATTTCGTGATCAATTAGTTTTATTATTTCATATATGAACAAAACAAAGAAAACGTGTGTTGAATATATTTTTACTTGTTGTATACATATTATTAAATTAGATTAAAATAAATCAAACACGATGAAAACGTTACTCTCTTTTGCCTACGAAAAACATCATGATGAGTTCCGACACTAAAAATATTCGAATATGTCAATTAAGTGATTCTTTATTCTAAAAATTGATGAATTTATTCGAATTGAAATTCTTCAATATTTTCCCCATTGAATAAAATCAGATTGAACATAGATCATTCAAATATGTGAGATGTTAATCCCACTTCTCGTTTATTTGTATAACTGTATCTAAGGATGAAGGAATAATCTCCCTCTACGTAACAACATAACACTCTCTATATAGAAGTGATAGAAGGAGTTGGAAATTTCCAATAAACGATGAACAAGAAAAATCCATAGAACAATATGAAAGACAAAATAATAGAACAAAATGGAAAATTCCAACATATATAAAAGGAAAGGGAAAAATTCTTGAAACATGACTAGCAGCAAGAGAAAAAAAGAAGAACATGAGTGAATAGGTATAATCATATAAATATAATAAGAAAAATCCTTATGACTACATCTGAAGCAGAAGTAGGTCATAATAAAATAGCGTGCGAAAAAAAAGAAAGAGAAACATCATGCTTCTTATTTTCTATTTTTATGAATATTGTTGCAAATTTTTCTTACTTCATAACTTTGGGTGAACGAATCAACCTACTTATGCTATCTAAAATACGATTATTCAAATACAGGATGGTCCATAAATTACATTAAAATAAAAATATGAAATATCTCTATATCAGTTCATTCAAAGGGACTAATTTTTTGATTCATTATTTATTATCAAATAAAAAAATACATGTGTAACATTTCGTATGTTATTTTTAATTGGCATCTAAGAGAATCATAAAAACAAGTAAAAAGTTGTAAAGTCTCGAGTTTTGAAATATGTACAACTGGCTTTTGCGAGAAAGTTGATGCTTTGATACTCAAAGGCTGCAATTATGTATTTAATTTAAGTATTGAAACTAAGTAGTTCTGAAAACTTGCTCTAAATACATCAATACAGAATTATTTATAAAGTTCGTTTTGTTCTTATTCTTCTTTACGTCACACGTGCATTTTTTACTTGACAATAGATAATTAAACAAAATATCAGATTACTTGATTCGACCAATACTGAGATATTTCATTTTTGTTAATCGTAGCGCTATTTATGAGGCATCTGATAATATTTTCGATAATTTGACCCGATCATAGTAGTAGGATGTACGATCGTGGCTACCTCTCGACGTGTTTGCCACCGTGATTTACACCATCATGTGCATACGTGTTTCTGGTGAATTAAAAGAGGGATGACTTCGTTTTTTCTCATTCGCAGTAAATAATACAAAACAAATCTTTTTCAACAAAATAAAGCCTACTATTGTTTTTTGTTGGAAAATCATCGATTAATCTTCAAAGAAATGCGATTTTGACGACACCGGTAATTATTGAAATTATGCTATAGATTTTGACTGTAAATGACTAGTCAATTGGAGCGTACATGAGCTGATTAGTGAGTATATTTGGATGTGGTTGTCAGTGTATGTATTCCATTGTCCTCAAACATCTCTAACACACCCAAACTCTTTTCCCAGGGGATGCACACCAGCAGGAAAATAGATTGTGGCTTCGCGAAAAAGCTTTTCAATCCGTTTCCATCTTCGGGTATTTTTGGTGATGGATGTAGGTGTGGAATGTGTGTATGAAGAGAAGACTAACACCTAAATCGACACTCACCTTTCACATAACCTGCACACTCTCACATCCACGAATATCGTGCAGTACTCATAAGAACGCTTCAATCTTCGTGCAAGTGAAAAGAACTAATCCGATCTCGAGCTATCTCACACGTTTATTCAAATGATGCAAAGTCCTGACTACAGCTGCTGTAAATACATCAACAAGATAGTGTGGCCTATATGAGAAAGAGAATACATGACATGAATAAAACACTGTTAATAATTGTCTGCTTTCACACTTTTTTGGTACAGCAAAACTGATGACAGTACAACATTTAGTTTGTCTTTTTCTGAGGTAATCGGAATATTTTTCTCTTTAGTGCATCTTAATATTTCGGAATATCTCTCATTTTAGTATCTCAGGTATGATCGTAATATTTTGTGCATATTGCAAAGAAATTAATCTTGTTTACAATTAGCGTGTGTTGCATCGCCAGGGTGCTATAACGTGTCTCAATATGATCCATGCTTGACAAGCTCAGCTTGCGATGGTTTACACTTTGTACCTTCTTTCAGTTTCAATATTTGTATGCTCTTGAATGTCTCTTGTTCTCGGCTGATGATGTGCACAGCTCAGAACAATGCATGTTATCAACTTGCTCATATTTGGGTGAATCACACAGATTGTCATAATCTCTCTGTTTGCTATCCATTGTCGATGACTACATCAGAACTGTGTCCGTAAAGTAAGACACGCCATTAACTATTTGAAGAATAGAACTTATCTTCGGTTATCACGTGCTCTGATTAGAACAAAATATGAAAAAGCGAGGTTTATCTTGTGCTCAGTCACTAAATAGCCGTCAACAGTCCTTGAACTAACTGATGACTACACGAGGAAGACTTGAAAAGACTACATCTTCATGCCCATCTCCATTTTCAATTAAGTGAATCCATTCGAAGAATATTCAGTCACCGAAGAACAAGTTGTTAAGGAGTAAAATTCTCGTTGAATCGGTTTTTAAAGCTTAAGACAGCTTTCATGTCTAGTAGTGCATTCGCGATTTCGAGCGAACTTGCGGAATGGTTTAGTGATTCCATAGAAAGCACACTATTTGCTCATGATCTAGAAGTTAATAGACTTGAAAATAATCACGAAATCACATGACATAGAAAGACTGAACAGTAGTATCAAAATATTATATGATATTTATTTTAACATTCCGATAAAAAAACGATATCTATAGATCATTTTCCACATATAAGCAAAAGCAATGAAGTTGTATAAAGAACACTGAAATTGAGAAGACTATTCCTTGTTTGAAATATTTCTATATTTTCAATAAATATTATATTCTTGCTCATTGCTATACCCTTACGTATATCATTGAAAAAATAGAAGTGCTTTTCAATGAGTTAAAATGTTCTTCATAATAGTTATCTGTACCTATTGACTTAGAATTTAGATGAAAATAGCAAAGACTCATTTCATTGAGTTCATCTCTATTTGTACTCACCTTCCATCGATTCTAATCGAATAATATACTTTAAAGATTTGTCTCGTTTTTATTTTCATGATGATATACAATAATGTGGACGGCTCATTCCTCTTTGTTATATCTTCACGAAGTCTTGCTGATTGATGAAGAAAATTGTATTCTATATGAATTAACTCCATAAAAGATAGTCCCAAAATAAGTAAAAAATTGTTGCTTCGGAATAATATTAGAATGCCAATTTATTCTTTTTAGAAGTTTCACTGATGTGGTAACTGAGAGTGAAATTAGTTTCTTTTTAAAATTATGCCAAAAAAAACATCCAAAGTGATTTGTCTAGTCTAGTTAATGATTTATGTAGTTGGACATATATTGAAATTACAATTGAATTTTTTATTGTGGCAAATTGTCTGGTTGATTTTGTTCAAAGTCGAAGAGCGGTTTAAAATACCACGCAATAACATGGAAAGCAAGCTGTTAAATTTAGAAAAATGAATATTTAACAATGGAATATTGTATAGATTTGTCAATAACTGGAAAGATCTGAATGACAGCGGTGGTATTTTTCTTTATTGAATAGATGTTATGTCACATATATATCAAAAGATTCTTATGTTCATGTATTTTATTAGTAAAGTGGTAATATTTGGTTCTTCATCTGGAAATAGAATAAAGAGTTCTATGACTCGTATGACATTGACATATTTTGTCGATGATTTAAAGTCAAGACTTATACTAATTACGGAGCTAATGATATTTCACACTTTCAACGTAATATAAATGTGACATACGGTGATATGTTGTACTACTGTGCAACATTTAATCATCAGAAATACACGAGTCAAGTTGTTATGTGTGTTTAATTGATGCTATCAACAACCATATAAATGATCTACATTTTCCTGATGAAAAGTTCAGTAACTTTTTGCTGTGATGATAATATATACTCAACAGAGATATATTTTACTGTAAGAGTGGAAAAAATCACTTCTCATAATGATGTCTTTATATCGATATACTAATATTATGCATTAGACAATGCATTACAAGCAGATATTTGAAAATAATGTCCACTCAAAGAAAAATATGACATTTTTATATTTTAAAGTGCCTTTAAATACCTAAAGTATTGAAAGTAGGTTAAATTATCTTTTAAATATAATAAAGATTAAACAGCTTAACATGGTGCCATAGTGTATTCGATAGAGTTTTAATAGCTTTATACTTCTTATAGGGCAGATATGTTAGCAATTTGATCCAATTGAAATATTGGTTCAATTTAGTAAACTAGTATTTTGATTCATACTCCTTAGACTCGTGTATGCATGAAAATATACAGCTTTATTAAATGCCTGATGACGGTTTGAATGAAAATTGTAGGATTGATAAAATTTGATAGCTGATTATTTTGACCGAAAGAATATCTGACATTTACGTGCTATTGGCATTATAGATACGTATCATTTTTTGATAGAGATTTCCATTGACAAATGCATGAGTAGTGAATTAATAACTTTTTGCTAGACTATTAATCAGGCTTTCTCTTTGTGGGTGTCAGTTTGTATGCGACTGAGTTCGAGTGTTTTCTCTTTAGTCTCATGATCATACGTACACATCTAACAGCAAATGCATATTTACACACGACACCCTACACTGAAACCGCACATCATGTATGAGCAGTCTTGGTTTTATTGATCTGAAGACAAATAGTTCGATTACTCGAATTTCAAAAGGATGGTATATAGAAT